ATGCTCGATGAATTCTGGTGATTATTGTTTCTGGAATCAGGAACATGGAAGCCAGGTAAAGTATGGTTGCCATTGCATACGTTTTCAGGATAACTGCTTTTCCTTTTAACGATAATGTTCTCTTCGACCATCTCTCTAGAGTCTCTTCGACCATCTCTCTAGAGTCTCTTCGATCTTTGTGGTGGGTGTCTCCCAGTCTTGTTGCATGTTGTGTCCTATATTGGTCCCCAACACTCGCACTGACTCCATTTTCCACTCAATAGGAATTGGACCATGCTGTCTGCCCACTTGCTGGCCGACAAAGGTCCCTTCAGTTTTCCGCAAGCCGCTTGCCGGTTCGAATCTTTCGATCTGGTCGAATGCTCTTGTGGCTGATAAATCGTCTTTCAGTGTCAGGGTGCCGTCATCCGCATAGACCGAGATCTTACTTTCAACTGGGCTGCCTGGGATGGTTATTCCTTCGATCTTCGGGTCTTTACGGAGGGCGTTTGTGAGTGTCTCAATTACCATAGTGTACAGGAGGGGGGAGAGGGGACATCCCTGACGGACACCCTATCTCAGGAGAAACGGGTCGGAGAGCCAGCCGTTATTTATGATGCGGCAGTTCGCTTCAGAATAAAGGGTCTCGATCCAATGAATAAAGGAGGGTCCGTAGTTCAATTTCTGCATTATCTTGATGAGGAAGCCTCGATTTACGCAATCAAACGCTTTCTCTTGGTCGAGGTTGATCAGGATGAGGTTCAGATTTTTTTCCGAAGCCTCATGGGCCATGTCTCGCAGACACAGTACACTGTTATAGATCGTACGATTCGGGATGCCACAGGTCTGGTCCTCGTAGATCACCTCGAGGAGGGTAGGTCTGAGACGGCTCGCCATTACTGTGAATAGGATTTTATAATCTGTGTTCAGGAGGGAGATGGGTCGCCAGTTCGTTAGCAGCAGTCAGTTGTCTTTCTTATACAATAGTCGTAGAAGTGATTGGCGTTCATTGCCCCGTTTAAGTGGTTTATGTTCAACAATTCTACCATGTTGTCTGCCAGTTCAGCCCAAAAGGTCTGGTAAAATTCCATTGTAAGCCCGTCTGGTCCAGGTGACTTGTTCCGGTGCATGTGTTTCACTGCCGCCATCAACTCTTCCTTAGTAACTGGTCCCTCGCAAGTGGATTTGGTCCTCTCGTCCAACCGCCGGTCTAATTGGCTAATGAAATGATCTTGTATGTCTTGGTCGACAGGGGTCATCTCTATAAAGTTGTTCGTAAAAGGTTCTGGCTGCGTCTAGTATTTGCTCATCAGAGGTCACTTCACCGTTCTCAGTGCTCAGCTTTGAGATACGTGCCTGTTCCTGTTTTGCTCGTTCAAGGTTGAAAAAGTACTTGGTGGGTTTTCCCCTTCAATCCATGAGGCTCTGCTCCTTATTTTGGTTCCTTCTAGCCATTTGTCAATTATGTCTCTGAGCTGTTGTTCAAGTATTGTTCTTGTCGTTTCCGATTTCTGCTCTTCCGAACTGTGTGAGTTATCGCGATTTCTTTGTACTGGCAGGTGCATTTTGTTTTTATCTGGGTTTAGCGTATTTTTCAAATCATTGATTTTGTGCGTCAAGTATTGGTCTTGTCGTTTCTGATTTCTGCTCTTCCGAAATGTGTGAGTTATCGCGATTTCTTTGTACTGGCATTTTGCTTCGTCCCACCATTCTTGAATGCTGTGGAATTCTTGTTCCTTATCCACCCAAAACGTTTGGAATGCTCTGATTTCTCTTTGAAAAGCTCTGTCCTTTAGGATGTCATTGTTGAGTTTCCACACTCTTTTCCCTCTAGGGTTATTGTCTGCGGTAACTGTTATTTCCGCCGCTGAATGATCTGACTGGGAGCAAGCTCGTACATATGAATGAGCTTTCTGATGTAGTTTATTGGTTATGTACCATCTATCTAGTCTGGAACGTATTGTGAAATCTTTATTGCTCCATGTAATATGTGGTCATTCGGGTGTGTTGTTCTCCATGTGTCTATCAGCTTATTGCTGTTAGTGAATTCATTTAATTCTGTGACCCCAAGGTTGCCGCTTAATGGGTTTCCTCCTTGTTTATCGAGATCGAGGTTCTCCACGCAATTGAAATCTCCCCCCAGGATTAGGTTTTGTTCACCCGGCTTGTATTGCCATAAGTTCTCGAAGAACGTTTTCCGGTCTCTAGGCTTATTGGGGGCGTATATGTTCATTAAGTTAACTTCTGAGTTTTGATAGCTTACTGTCGCTGCTATCATTCTCCCTTCATGGTCACGTAATATATGGGTTATGCTGTAGTCCTGTTCTGGTTTGAACAAAATTGCTACTCCGCAGCTTCTGTTTGTGCCGCGGCTCCATAAACATTGGCCGCCCCATTCTTGGGCCCATAGCTGTTCATTTGTTTCACTGTCATTCTGTGTTTCCTGTAAAAATATAAAGTCCGCCTTGTAAGTCCGTAAATGATCAAATATCAAGTCCCGTTTTCTTTTTTCTGCTATTCCGTTAGTATTTAGACTGAGGCACTTGTATGTGATTGTTAAAAGGGGTGTCTGCTTTTCCCCCCGGAAACAGCGACAGCTGACCGCTTCTTCCTCTTCTTTTTCTCCAGTGATTTTTGTTTCGCTGTTTCTGTTACTTCTTTCCTGTGTTCTTCTGCTCCATTTCCTTGGGGTTGTGGTTGTGGGTCCTGTTGTTGTCTTTAATGTTTTAAGGGGGGGTTCTTCTTCCAACTCTGATGATGTACTTCGGCCTGGTGTCAGGGTGCTGTCCGATTCCGATGTTGCAGTGGTGAGGGGTTGGGATGTGGTGTTTTGTTGCTGGTCTGGGGGATTGGGTGATTTAAAGGGGTGGGTGTTCTTGGTTTGGGGTTTTTGGATTGCTGTTGCCATTTTATCTTCAGTTTCCATAGGGGTGGTGTGTTCATCCTGTTTTGTTCGGTTCCCAGTGGAGGGGTGGTTTAGTTGCCTGCCCCGGTGTCAGGGTGCTACCCGATTCCGATGTTGCTCCGATGGTGAGGGTTTGGGATATGGTGGTTTGTTGCTGGTCTGGGGGATTGTGGAGTCGCGGTTGTGGATTGGGGTGTGTTGCCTGGGGATTGGGGAGTGGATTCGCTTTGGCTTGGCCGTGGGGATGTCCATCGGGTTTTGATTTCGTGTTTCGCCCTGGTTCGGTGTACCCGCGTTGGTACAGGATGTGGTCAGGTTGCCCGTTCGGGTACTTTGTTCCTTGGTTGCGGCACCCAGTTGTGGGTCCTCCTCTGCTTCGTTACCTAGGGATGTGGTGGCTGTCGTGGTTAGATCTGTTGTGGGGTTCTTTGATTGGGTTTCCGTGTCACCATTACTATGTGTCTCAGCCCGGGCCCCTGGGCCCCCCGTTGATGCCCAAAGTCCTTGGAATTCCACGAAGTACTGTGGGCAGTCATTTGCTTCATGCCCTTTTTCCTGGCATCTAAAACACTGTTTCTCTGGGCATGTCCCTTTTATGTGTCCAGGTTTGCCGCACTCTTTACACACCCGTCCAGCTTGGCAGTCTTTGGTCTCGTGCCCCTCCTGTTGACAGTTACGGCACGTTCTGCGTTGTCCTTGGTATGCTCTTCGAATTCTGTACTTGCCCACAAAGATAAAGGACGGGATGTTACCCTTCAGGCTCTTGAATTGGGCGATTTTGACGCCCGTTTTAATTGAGGCGTCCATCCATCAGGGATACTAATTCGCTGTACAATCGCATGTTTTTTTCCAGGATGTCGCTACTTGAGTCCAGGGGAAAACCAAAAAGTCTCACCCACATGTACGTTGGTCGTTCGATTTTGGTGCTCTCTAAGTGGAATTCTATGTTGTGCAGCTTAAGTGTTTTGTCCTTTGCTGCTTCTCTCTGTCGTTGGATCTCAAAGACAATGAACCATAACACTTTACTAAAACATTCAATGCCGTCATTTGTTTTCACAACAATGTTTCCTTCTTTCAAACTGTAGTAAATTTCTTTACGAAGGATTACTGGTCCATCTACGGTGGCCTCAGCAGGAAGTCCTTCCAAAGTTAGCCGCAAAGACCGAGGTCTCTGCATGACGTTAATGCACGTACGCCAAAACCGTAGTAATTATGCACGATTTCAGAATGTCGTAAGAATTACGCAATGTATTTTCACGAAATTTTTGCGAGAATCAGAATTCACCTATAACTTCTGAAATAATTGTTTGTTCTCGTTCAAAATACTACAAAAAGACAGGAAATCGTTTCCCGAATCTGCCAATATGCAAAACGACGTCTACTTCCAAGTATTTCTGATGAAAAGAACCAAAACGGCACAACCGTGTGAGTAAACACAACATCAACAAACCGTCGCTCGAATACAAAGTCAAAACTACGCCATAACTTTGTGGATACTCTTCTGTTTTCGTTGAAATTGCTACCATTGGATGCAGAAATTCCTTACGAGTATTTTGATATCTTAGTCGACATGCCACAGTTAATATTTCATCATAAAATTTCCAAAAATCATAGAGCTCTAAATTATCACTTGATCTTAGCCAAAAGGCCGAGAAGCGATGCCTTCTTCGCCGTTCGGCCCACGTATTTCTACCGAACACTTGTGCTACGAAAACGCGGTGAGAAGGAGCTTGCTTGCGAGCGATTATGACGTTGA